GTTAGACTAAAAATTTAGGGGGCGTCGCAAGAAAAAAAATCAACTTGGTAAATAACGGACACCCCAATGAATATATATTTATTATTTCCAAATTGTTTTTTTTTTTTGTTAAAAAGAAACGACATCCTGTAATAAATCTAATTCTTGTTTTACTAAACCACCAACAGCTAAAAACTAATATAGATAGTATCAATAAGGACATTAAGGAGATAAATGGTATGGTATGAATTTAGATATTCCAACTTGATATATTAAAAGCGAAATTACATTTCTACAGAATGGACTAGATCTTGATTTACGAAATGACAAATAAATTTTCATTAAATTTCTGAAATTGCAATTTCACGCCGATTATGTTTCCATATATATATGTATATATATATATATATATATATATATATATATTGAGTTTGATACATTGAATAGTTTTCCAAATATATTTATTTATTTATATATATATAAATAAATATATTTGGAAAACTATTCAATGTATCAAACTCAATATATATATTATATATTATATATAGGGTGCTTTTTTTTCACGACTATTTTTATTTTTTCGCTCCTAACTCAAAATCTTGTTGAAAATGTTAAAAAAAAATCCCTGAAAATTTGAGCCTTTAATATTAACTCAAAGTACTCTACCAAACCGTATAAAGATTTTCATCTTATTTTGACTTGCTTAATCTGCTCCTAAATGTATGCCACTAAGTTTAGGGACACCTTGTATAACAAATTTTCAAAAATCAGATCTCACATGTATCTAGTTTATTATTAACATTTTACTAAGACATATTTGTGTTAATCGACCTATTTTGACCTTCTATTTCTACAGTTGCTGTATTTTCCATTAGTTATGGGACACCCTAAAAGGTCACTTAGTGCCATGGAAACATGTATGATAATGGGAGTTTTAAAGGTGGGAATAGAAAAAATTAATTATATGAAATAATTTATTTCATCAAAATGCTGTTTTGTTTTTAAAATTTCTTTTCGTGTAGAATGTTCTGTTATCTTTGTAATTATATGTTAAATAGGTGTAATTTTGTTGGACAATAAATCTAAAAAAACATGAATTTAAAAATCGTATAAAACGGATTAGGTTTTAAACAGACAAATCACTATAAATAGTATATTATGTATCAAGTTTTATAAAAGCCATTTTAGTTTTCAGGCACGAGCAAATCTTGCGAGCGATTGCTTAATAAAAACAAGTGTCTAGAGAAGTTTATAAAACGAGTTGCATACTATACGTATCTACGACGAGCACAAAGAAGAGTTTAAAGCCAAAATGTTAAAAATTTGACATCTGTTAACTGTCAACCGATTTAACCTTACTTTATCCCAATTTATAATAAGGCCAACTTCAGCCCGTGACTAAAATGCCCAAAAGTTGGTAACTTTAGCCCGTGACTAAAACGCCATAAAGTCACAGCTTATCAATGAGGAAGTAGATAATAGTATATTATGTATCAAGTTTTATAAACGCCATTTTAGTTACGAGTTTAATTAAGCACGAGCGAAGCTTGCGAGCGAGTTTTTAATAAAAACGAGTGTCTAGAGAAGTTTATAAACGAGTTGCATACTATACTTTATCTACGACGAACACAAAACAGAATTTAAAGCCAATTTTATTTGTTAAAATTTTGACATCTGTCAACTGTCACCCGAATTTAACCTCACTTTTTCCCAATTTATAATAAAGCTAACTTCAGCCCGTGACGTAAAATGTCAAAAAGCCACTGTAGTTAACTTCAGCCCGTCAATAAAACGCCATAAAGTTACAGCTCGTCAATGTAGGAGTAGATAATAGTATTTTATGTATTAGTTTGATAAATGCCATTTGTTGAGTGTATAGAAAAGTTTATAAACGAGGTGTATACTTTACTTTTTCTACGACAAATACTTATTATCTTAAAATGATTTAAATCAAAAATTTGTATAGAGCGCCATCTATGAAACAATAGGGGAATCTGTGTGTCACCTTCAAATATCAAATTTTTATATACTTTATAAACACAATTATAAAGGTTATAAATCGAAATGTATTTCTTGAAAATTGACAGTTTTTCACAGTGAACGTAAAGAAAATGTTTTATGAGCACTTTACAGTGGAGTCCGTGCCCGAATTTAAGTTATAATTTAGTGCCGGCGAAATTAAAAGGTCAGTACAATGTTCATATAAACTTTTCAAATATTGGCGTTGACAAACTATTGAATACTTGTGTATTTTTGTATTGAGATAATAAAATAATTTTCACATTTAATATTATTTTACAAGAAAGGCACTTTATTTTAAAGATTGTATGACATTTGACAACTGTAAACTAACTTAAAACTAACTTCAGCCCGTGACTAAAAACCTGTTGCTAACTTCGGCCCGTGACTATAGCGCCATAAAGCCACAACTTGTCAATGTATTTAAAAGGTCACTTAGTGTCATGGAAACATGTACGATAAAGGGCGTTTTAAAGGTGAGAGTAGAAAAAAATAGTTATTGTGGTTATACACAGTAAAAAGTGAATTTTTAAATTTAGTAGGTACCTACTTACTTTGGAAAAAGTTACTTAAAACTTGGGTACTGATTACTTTATTTATGAAACCCGCACATATTTTAATATTATATGGACTGTATAATAACCATTACTTAACATTCGACAAACTATTATGTTTCGTTGGGTATTAATTGTTAAAAGTAATGAATCCTAAATAATATTAAATACGAAAAGTTTGGGAATGATTACCAAACACTATTGAAAGCAACTCCCCAATATTATTTTTCTATGTAGTCGGTATGCATTTATGCTTTATGCCATTCACGCGGTATTTCTTATCTTAACTTGTGCATTTTGTTAAAGTAAAGTAAAATTTCGCCCACCGGTTAAAGTTAAGAAATGGAATTGGTGTTATTAAATAATAGTATATTGTGCAACTAGTGGAAGAAACAGAAGATTCCTAGAGCGTGAAGTTATAACTGCTATAGCAGGTAAGACGCGAGTGGAATCTCATCTGTTGGCCAACAGTCGCACACAATATTTTATTCAACCACCACAAAAAATTTAAAGCAAATTTTACTTGATATTTTATTTAACATCTGACAGCTGTCAAGCAATTTTAACCTCACTTTTTTGCAATGTTAAATTAAATTAACTTAATTTAAATTAGTGTAAAATTTCGACCACCGGTTTAATTATAATAAATTAGAATAAAAACGAATCCTAACTTCAATATTATTATACGAGAGATAATGCAGGCTATTATTATTCACGAGGATAAGGTTTGGGTCTCGAGTCGCTAGACGAGTAAATAATGCGCATAATCTCGAGTGTAATAATATACTTTATCTACTCAAATAAGTAGATAATTATGAAAATAAATAAATAAAGTCTGGCATCTGCAGATACTCTATACCTACCTATGATTCAGAAATGAAAACAAACGGGTTTTTTCAGATGTGAAAAAAAACAGAAAAAAAGGTTTATTTTAGTTTTTTTTCAAATCCGCTACAATAAAGGCCGTATTACAGCCGGCAATTCTTTCGGCAATTGCAATGAAAATTGCCTTAGGCATGCGCGGTAGATACATTTCGACGAATCTCTTACAATTGCCGAAAATCGGTCCGGATGGATTTTTATTGCCGTTTTACGGCAATTCTGGGGTGAAATCTGGTAACTTTTATGTTACCAACCCTACTACAAATTCCCTAAAGAGACGCTGTTTGACTTTAAGGTTATTTGTTTTATGATTGACATTTTGTTCAAGTTCTATAGTATCCATTTTACTCATTAATTTTTAAATATCTCTACTAAATAACAAATAAACTTAGTGTTTACAAAATCGTATATTTTTCTTCGGTTGGTAGCACGGTAATAAACAGCAAGTTGTCTTGCCATTGCTGACTGTAAAACAACATGCAATACGGCCTTGATGGCAAGAATAATTGCTGCAAGAAAAATTGCTGCAAGAAAAATTGCCGGCTGTAATACGGCCTTATAGCATATTCTGTCAATAAATAACATCAATCTTAACAAATTGAGTATTTTTTCAATATGAAATTTTGAGTAAAATGTATATCTATTAATAATAAAGTGGAATGTAGAATCTATTTCATTTTTCATTATTGAACATTTTGACCGAGACTAAAAAATTTTCTATTATTTGGTAGTTTCCACATAAGAAACCAATAACAATGTAAAACTTCTTTAAGTCTATTATAGGTAGTTACTTTAGAACAAATCAAAACAAGCGCGGCCCTTATTGGTCAATTCAGTGGTGGTGGCGCGTGCATAGCGCGCGACTGTATTTATATTTGAATAGTGTAGGTTCTAAAGGGTCTAAGTGCCAATATCAAAAATTTTCAGTTATACATGTAGAACGAGCCTATCCTATGTGCTATGCTAATGGAAAGGGTCAAAGTGCCAGCGATGTATTTAGATGTTTATTAACTGTGCAAAAGATAGCGCTTTCTGTATGTACCAGAATTAATTATTTATAAATGGTCTATGTGCCGTCGGTGCTCTTTGGGTGCACCATCGCATACAAGCTTTTCGTAAATATTCTGTTGTGTCTTGTGCTAAAAATGGAGAGAAAAAGAAGGTTAAAAGGATCAGAAAGTGTTAAAAAAGAACAAAACCGTTTAAAGACAAGTAGCCAACTTGACACTTAGACCCTTTGGAAATACCATGCTTCAATTGCTAAAAAAAACAAAAATTAAGTCCTTGGGACGTACCGAGTAAATCCGCTTTAATTTTCACAAATAAGTAAGGGACTGGATGTACCCAAAATTTCCGATATAGGTCTGGGACGTTCGAACCTATGTGAGACCCGAAATGGAAGTCCTGGGTACCTCTTGTGCTATCTGGGATAAGCCAAAAAAATATACCGAGGAAATGAAACAGATGGTAAGGGAGCACATTAATAGTTTTTCTAGAGATAAAAACCATTACAGCCGACAGAAATCAAAAAAAGAATTTCTTAGCCCCGACCTAAACATAAACCGCATGTTTATTGCGTTTAAAAGAAAATACCCTGAAACTCTAGTAAGTTACAGATTTTATTCAGACACATTCCACAAACATTTTTCTCATCTTCGATTTGGAAAACCAAAATCTGATACATGTTCTAAGTGTGACTTACTTAATGCCAAAGGCTCTGTTGAAGAACAAAAGTGTCTTAAATGTAAACTCGAATTACATCACATAAAAGCTGAACAAGCCAGGAAATCGCTAAAAAATTATACCATTGAGTCACAACAACCAACTTCTGATAGTTTAGTAATTTCAATAGATTTGGGGCAGGTGATCTTTATACCTACCCTCCCTCATATTGACATGTTTTACAGCCGTCAGCTGTCATGTTATAACCTGGGAATACATTTGGCCGATACGAATGGTGCCTTAATGTGTCTTTGGAATGAGTCGTTAACAGGAAGAGGTTGTGATATCGGATCTGCAATTTTGAGAGTTCTTCTCTCAGGAAATTTGCAACCAAAAGTAAATTAGTTATATGGAGTGACAACTGCATTGGACAAAATAAAAATCGGATGCTCCTTAAGATTCTCATATAATAATCAAATTGACCAAATATGTTTAGTGAGTGGACATTAGTATCTTCCTTGTGACAGGGACTTCGCTCAAGTGGAGAAACGCAAACGAATCTGTAAATTATTTGTCCCATCAGCTAAAGAGCTCTAGAGATGATGATTAAAGAAGCTCGTCACCAAAATCCATTTGATGTTGTAAACTTGGTTGAGAATGATTTCAAGGATCTGCAAAAGTTTGCTGATACATTTATAAATACATCAAACTTACAGATTTCTCAAGCTTCATGAATCCGAATTATATCTAAAAATCCTGGACATGTAAGAATAAAAAACTTTTAATGAATTAGAAAATTGAAGAATTTGCAATGTGGTAAAGAGAGGAAAACTTATCCAGGACATCTGTTTATATCAGAGTGTGGAGTGTAAAATCGCATTACTAAAAGATTTGAAAGCAATGCAAGATTATATCCCACTGAAATATTACTTATGAAGACTTAATTGACAAAACCTCTGAACTTATACAGGCGACATAGTTAAAACAAATTTGTGCACACGATAAAGTTGTTTTGTTTAGTTTTTAAATAGCTACATGCCTTTGTAGGGTATTTTGCATTTAAATGTTTTTTTGTGATAATAAACCTTTAAGTATTTTTTTGTTTTTTTTCGAAATGCCAGGCACTTACACTCTTCTCTTTTCGAGGCACTTAAATCCTTTTACGATTTCTCGTTTTAAAATAACTTTTTTTAGTCAAAATTAGGTATTTTCGTTTTTTTGTCTTCCCTAAAAGAGGTGGTATCAATTATAAAAATATACATATTTACAGCTAAAATGATGTTTACTAATTAAAAAATTATTACTTTGTAATAGTCCCGTCCGTTACGCTTTAAATTATTAATTTTTAAGGAATTAAACAGTCAATCATGATACCTAATTTTGCCAAATATAAACCTTGTTAAACAGCTTTTGTTTGGAACTATTTATAAAAATTTGACATTGGTAATATAATAGAACAATATTATTTTGTAAATAAAAACACGGCAACTGTCCTATCCTAAGCGTGGAATGGCCCAGATACAGATGTCGGCTAACTGATTCACACCTTCACGACCTGTTAAGAGTATACTTAATATACTACATGCTAGCATGTAGCCAGATTAAACTAAAATTGTCAAAAATTTCCACAATTTCAACAATCAAGATGTCATTAATTTTGAAATAAATTATAAGGTTTAAATATTGAGTTTTATTGTAATATAGGTCTTTGCGGCCCGCCTAATGTATCAGTCATACATATTTGGCCCAAGAAAAAAAAAGTTTGAGTAAGGCTGCTTTAGAACTTACACTTTTTATTTATTAAATGTCATTTAGTGGCTAAATTTTAGTCTATGAACTGGACTGGAAACATTAAAAGGTAAATGGGACTAATCTTGAAAAAAAAACATTTGAAAAAAAATGAAAAAAAAAACAATAAAAACGGACCGTTTTTTTTCATGTCACATCTCTACCTATGAATAATTATATTTATCTATTCCTATTGCATACTTTTGGTTTTTTTCGTGAATATTGATAAACATATAAATTCCCTGCCTAACAACGGGAATAATTAACTCATTATTGATATTATTGATTTTAACCAATCTGGTTTTAAATTGGGAGAAGGCGACTATAATAACATTTAAAATTGGTAAAAAGTGAGGTTAATCATTTGACATGTCAAATGATTAACACTAAAAAAAGGTACTCTGGGCTTCAAAAAATATTTAAAATGGGTAAAATATTAGATGGGTATGCTAAAGTAATAAATGAATGCATTTTACTGAAAACCTTTTTTTAGTAGAAGTCTCTATATGTATTTTTATAATTTCAGGATTTTTTTTAATATTGACCTAGAAAAAAATGTTGGTCTGTTTTTGCCCCTTTACCCCCCAAATTTTACGCCTTTGATTTATTTTGACAGTATTGATGTCAAAATTACCAAAGTAATAAAAATTAATTTCTTTAAGTTCAACCTTTTAGGAAACTTAAAACATTATTTTATTCCCCCCTCTTCAGAGGGCCGTAACTCCATCAGGGGGAATTTTTCGATTCATGTTAATTAAACAAACTTGTATTTTTTATGTTTAATTTTGGCCCCCTACTTTGTTAAAACAATACTGATTTTTTTAAATGGCCTTATTTAAACTTAAAAGTTTATTTAATTCAATAAATTTCAATTGACCGGGTATTGCGAAACAGGTATCGAAGTGAAATTCCTGCTGCGCCTCGTAACAGGAAATGACTGCGAGCCTGATTAATATGCGAACAGCAGAGATCATTCGATTTAATCGCTATAATCGTAGCCAGGCTTGTTTAAACGTCCTGCGCATAGCCATATTCGAACATTTGTTCAAAAACTAATTTAAATTGTTTTTGAAGCGAGTTTTAGGTAGTGTTGTTTCACTTAATGGTAAACATGAAGATACATCCGATGCATCGGTTTATTGTTTGTAGAACTAAGAACTGTGCGGTCTTTTTATTTGGTTTTCTCGGCTAAAATACACAAAGCGGTATACGCGCGTATAGCCGGATCTCTATATTTATAACGAGAATATTACTGCTATAAATTACGAGGCACAATTTATCAGGAGTAGGTTTGCTTTTCTGCTGCAAAAATGTAGTTGTTAAATTTGTTGATAACAATTTTCTAAAATAATTCTGATGTAAAATTTTTTAAACAAAGCATGATATGCAAAAATCGCTAGAAACAAAATTTAGTACTAAAATATAACAACAAATTTAATTTTTATATTTAATTAATTATAATAAAAAACAAAGAATAACAATGTATTTTCTTTACATATGTACATATGTAAATGCATACCAAATTAGGATAATTTATCTTTTATAAATCGTGAAAAATTACCTATTGATTAATATGAAGCATTTTTAGTTTAATAAACTTAAAAATATTAAATATTAAAAATAAATTGTATAGTTACCTATCGGCGATCCTAACATTTTGTTTTTAATTGTACTTATAACCCGATTTTATTGTACTTATAAGTACAATTAAGACAAAATGTTGGGCTCGCCGATGTTTTCGCATAATTTAAATAAAAAGGTAGGTATAACATTTATTTTACATTACATTAAAAATTGTCCGCGTGCGACAAAATGACGTCTTATGACATTAGTTCTTTAATGTACTATTTAATAAACTTTATTAAAATAAACATGCTCCATATTAATCAATTTTACCAATTTCTGTAGTATATATGAGATATAACTAAGCCAAGTGATTTTTACAGGCTTCTTTTAAAATTAAATTTACAACATTAAATGAATTGTACTCTGCAAATATTGCAACTAATGATGGTCCAAGGTTCGGTTATACACATAAAACTTCTTATTTAGTTATTTAGTTCTCTCAGTTCTTGAAATAAACATTAAAATTTGGCTCATCCATGTGCCATCCAGTTTTTTTTATTTGAAGAGCTAGAAGGTCTTTTAAATTACAAAAAAGTTGCGTAATTACAAGCCTTTTAACATGAACTTTATGAATTGGAAAAAAGCCAGCGCTTCTCTAAATATTTGAAAAAACTAAAAACCTTTCAAAACCAAAAATTGGTTTTTGAGAATTTTATAGCAAAGTAAATTTAACATCTAAACATACACATTATTATTTCTTCGCTACTATGTTTTGAGTTCATCCTTTGTTTTTATAATGGCCGCCGTAATTTTAAATATATCGTTGGATTTCTTTCATGTAAAATTTCAATATGGCATACACAAAAAAATAAACTTGGTGATGGTATCTCAAAATTCAGTGCGAAAAAAATTTGAAACTTACTTTTTTTCAAAATTCCCAGGAATAACGAATTTCTAACAATTTTTTGTTTTGACGGGTTTTTGGGTTTGTTTTCATTATTTATAAACCGCTGATTTTGTATCCAATTTTTAAAATCCATTTTAATAGACTTTTGACAGTTCTTCAAATAAAAAAGATGCCCATACATAAAAGGATACCTGGCGATTTTCTGGTTCAGTAATAATAAATCTTTATTTTTATAGGTAAAAGTATTGCAATCTTCATAGAGATTATCAAATATAATTGCACAATGTGCAATGAACATAAGGGTGGTCCTTATTTGGGGGTACTTTCAATGATAATCATAAGGTGGTGATAAATAAATAAAAAGAATCGTTTCAAGTTTCAGCTCTTAATACCTATTAATATTAATATTATCTAATATTCTAGAATAGAATTTTATTGTCATCAAAGAAATTACATGACATGTCAAGAAAAGTAATACCAGTTCATTAGTACAATTTAAACTAAGCAAATACAATATTAAATATAAGCATATCCACAGTAATATTATATAACAGTTATATAAATAAAATAATTACAATAAACTAAAAGTATTAAAATAGTTGTATAAATAAAATAGCATTTAAAATGAAAATATAACAGGGATTCATTTAAAAATTTTGATCTACTCCTGTACACTATACAAACACACCTGGCACTCACGACAGTCAAAGTTTTAAATGGAAAATAAGTGAATTTTATCCCCCAATGATTTAGACATTTTTTTGACTTATTAAATATTGATATGAAATTTTTTTATTCATTTATTTTAAACCAATTTAGGACCATTAAAAAAAATAACCACCTACATGGTCCTTAACTGGGGTATTTTCAATTATTTCATGATAGTCAGAAATTGGTGCCAAATAAATAAAAAAGAATCGTGACAAGTTTCAGCTCTTAATATTAATGTTAACCTGGCTCCACGGAAGTCAAGTTTTAAATGGAAAATAAGTGTAAATGATTTAGACTTTTTTTTGATTTGTTAAATATTCCTATAACATTTTTTTATTTATTTATTTGAAACTGATTTAGGACCATTTAAAAAAAATACGCCTTTATTTTATTGTGCGAAAACGGGGTGATATTCAAAAACTGATTTCCAGGGGATACAAAATGGTTTATCTTAACCTTAATTTTCCACCAAAAAGATATTTGTAAAAATGTAAAAACTTATGTTGACCCGAATATAATTTTGCTTATTATTTACCATATATTTTAAAAGTTGTTATTTTTCTAAATACAATCCGCCGTAAATAAAAATTTATTTTATAAAATAAGCGATTATATCATGTTAGCCAGGTGTAAATCCAACTTTAATAAAACAATCTAAAAACATAAAAAATACAGTGTATAAAACTTTATTTAATTAATAACTAAGTACTCTCTTAAAATGAATTAGTTAAAAATAATATGTAACTAATTGTCATAGCGAAAAAGCATTCACTAATATTTAGTCAAATTCTACTAAATGAAATAGTCAAATTAGTAGATTTAAATTTAAAAAAGTGTGGAATCAGCCAGGGTTTGAACTCGAGTATGTCACTTTTATAAAAAAAATTGTTTTATTTGTCTATAGATATTGTTAATAATATTTTAAAGCTAAATATCTTTTTTGTGTTGCTAAACTTTTTGCATCTTTGTATGTTTTTAAGGGCCATTTAACCATGGAGCCAATATGCATTTAACTCTAACAATAATTTGTTGTTGGCCGCAAGAATTAAAAATAGTTACTTTTTAGTCTCAGAAACAGTCAAAGATGGTGACTTATTTTAAATTAGTCAAACTTTAACAACTTAAGTATACTATACCAAAAAATAACTATTTAAAAGTGAAAACGACTATTTTATTAGTAAAAAATGCTGATACTAATTTAAATAGTAGAATTTTGACTATTACATTTTAAGAGAGTAAGGGTGAGTCAGATAGAAAAACGCCAAAGGACTTTTCGTCATCGCCGACGGTGGACTAGTGGTTAGTGCTGCTGACTACAAGCCGGATGTCGTGGGTTCGAATCCCACCAGCCCGCGGTCTGTTCCTACCCCTAACCCGCACAAGCCATTCAGTTGGCTTCTGGGACTTAATAGGAAATAAGGGTGGAACTTAAAGAGCACTTTTTTGTCTTATTTTTGGCTCTACTATACGCCATAAAAATATTTTACCTTACTTATAGTTGATACCAGTGGCGGCTCGTGGTCAGTCGAAGTAAGGAGGGTAATAAAATGCAAGTGTTGTAATTTTTTTCTAATACGCGTTTGCCATTAAAAAAACTACAGTCTCTTCACTTAAAACACAGACTGAATAAAATTACGCAGTATGCACGAGATTGTCCCTTTGTCGGTAGGCAGCACGATCCACAACCTCCAAATTGACCAATAACCCAAGCAACACACAAAGTAGCTGGTACGTTCCTGGGCCTACAAAAGCGACCATCAAATAGACCGCCACTATCGGCGGCTACTATGCCGCTACGTAACGGCCACGTAGCTTTTACTAAAATGGGGAAGAATTAAGGGTAACTGGGTAGTATAACGGGTAGTCCCAGGGACTAAAGTTGCCACTATATTTCGTTACTATAAAGTGAAAAGGTAGTAGCAACCACTATCCTGCTACGTATCGCCCTAGTAACCCCTACGTGGCCGCCTGGTAACTGCCACTAAACGTTCCTTTAGCGACCTCTACTTTGTAAAAAAGTTTTCAAAGAAATAATATTATGACAGGACAGTCGCGAAGTCATGGCCATGTTAAACTTAATAAGGAGTGTTAATGACAAAAATGATGATGTTTAATCGCGTATTTTGGGTACTTCCAGGGTTAATATTAGAACGCAACTCACTATACTGATAAATATAACCGGTTTAGATGGAAATATTTTAACGCGCCCTCAAATTAACTTAGTTTAGTAAATATTTACGAAGAAAAAATAATATCAAAAATATAAAAAATAATATTTCATAATATACAAAAGTGTATTGGAGTTCTAGTTAAAAAAATAAATGCTTAAGGGATTATAAACATTAGGAAAATGAAGAAAAATAGAAAATATACTAACAACAAAATTCCATTAAAAAATCGTGACCGTAAAAATATGGCTGACTTACACTTCGCTACGATAAAGTTAGGCCCTTCCCTATAAAGTAGCAGGGACTACCCATTTTTTACTTTAAAGGATCTGCTACTTTCAGTGACTAAGTTGTCACTACCCAAAAGTAACTGTGTAGTACCGGTTACTACTTCGGAACTTTTTTATTTTTAAATATTTTTTAAATTTCTACACTATGGTTACTACTGGAACTAATAAGTTATTTTAAACACCCAAAAAGTCGGACGATCAGGCATTTTGTGAGAATATAGTTACATATGTTACTATAAAGTTCCGTCTACCACTGAAGGTAATGCTGGAATCCTAACCTAGGTTGAGCTCAAAAGTCAAATGTATTTTGTTAAGACTACAATTTGATTGTTGCACGTTTTGGCTCTGGTTAAAATTGTTTTCGGATTCGTGCTACCTACCTAAAAGGTAGGTAGCAAATAGGTGTAAGGAATCTGCTATGATTATATCTTCAACCATATATATTGGCAGTTTTATTAATGAAGATTCTTCTTTGTGATGATCTTCATCTAGAGCCCTACGAAAACTTTCATCCGTTCTTAAAGGGCAATCAACTTTTGAGAAACTCATATGCCTTTCATCTTTATCATATTCTCCAGTAACAGTGCATTTTATACAACCATGCTTCGCATTAAAGCCTACAGTTCCTACAATAATCGCTAGAATTATAAAATTAAGCAATTAGGATGCAGTGTAAATCATAATGTTCTCAGAATTAAATTTTGTTGAAATTTTTTCCAACGGAATATCTCTCACATGCATACTATATACTATAAAACTTAAAATTAGTTTGAAATAAGAATTTACCTTTAATAAAGCTTCGTGCTGGAGTGTCGCATACAAAATACCTAATTTTTACTTTTACCCTAATCTGACTAACTTGAATTCCTGTTTCCAAAATCTCATTTAGTTCCGTTACAAATTCAGGCAAAAATTCTTGTAATGGAGGTTTTGACTCTCCGCAATAAATAGCCACCACCATGGGTTGATCACATGCAAGGATATTCATGCTTTTAGTATCGGCCAAAATTGTAACAGAGAACTATTAAATGGAGGCAAGCCATCAATATTAAATATTGGGAATACCGATTCTAGGTTTTTCTCTTGGAATAAACGAGATAATAAAATCTTCCTTATTCCGTTGTACCTAAATATGTAACAGACAGGTTGGGTACATATATTATCTGCCACTATATAGACACATTTTTCAGTTTCTACAACTTTATAGTAGCAAAACGTCAAAAGAGTATAGTACCCGTAACTTTATAGTAACAAACCATAGTCGCAGCTACTATTTCAGGACCAACAATATTACCCAAATGCCTCGTAACTTTAAGACCCACGATATAGAGTACTGGGACTATTCTGTGACTAAGCATGGAACTATATAGTAACAAATACTTAATTTACCCATTTTAGTAGCAGAAACTGGTAGCCGTTTCGTATTTATCGCCACTATTTAGTTTTCGCCACTTAGTGGTAACAATGAAAGGATATGCCTAGTCCCAGTTACTAGACGTAACAACCCATTTGCTACTTTAATTTTGGGTGTTCAAACTCCAAATGACTAGTAGCAGAGTGGTAAAAGAGATTATCCAAAAATCCTTTGGAGTGGCATTACCTAATAAAGTGACAAATTAGGTAACAGGGTGTACCCAGGAACTGTATTTTGGTGGCGAGTCTAAAACCAAAAGGATCTGGAACTATCTGTGTTACTTGGGAAGGACCTCGTTACGCGTAGATCACGGGGTTCAATTGTGTTTGTTTTGGTCCGTGTCTAAAATGGTTGTGTCGCCAAGAAAAGACAATAATTGTCTTTAATTTAATTAATTATTAAAATATTAACTTACAAATACAAGTAATACCTAACGAAGAAAATAAGCCATTCTCAATCTCCCAACATTTTAATTTTTCCAATTTTTCCATGTTTAAACAAAACAAAACACCACAAAATGTAAATTAACAAAACAACACACTAATTTAAACTGTCAAATCGCACAGTATACATAAAAAAATCTAACATAGTACCAAGAACACCGCTGTCATTGAATGCATTAAAATTGAAGCAATCTAAATTGTTATTTGCTCAATTAATTACTATTAAACCAAAATAGGGAAACATTTTGCCTAAATGTCAAAGAATTTATTGCGTTAAATGTATACATAGTATACATACTATATAGTAGAGGATCCCAAGTAAGGTCGACCTTCACTCATCTGCTTACCAGATGAAAATTATATTTTATCAAATAAAATATGTTTCTGAACATAAACCAATAGGGTTGCCATAAAAAATATGATCATGGCTATAATAAATAAAAAATTAAAAAAATATTTTTTTTTTAATTTTACTGACTTGCTTGCCAAATAAACGAAATTCCAATGGAAAGCATACAACATACAGAATATGTAACTGCTAGGTTGCCTACCTTTTTCTGGTCCCTATTACCTGGTTGCTTTGTACAAACAGGTAAGTTGATATCAGTAATTGCACTCATATGCTTACCACTTAAAAAATATATCAAAATGAAGGCAATTTTATTACGAATACAGTAGTATAGGGTTGCTTTGAAAAATCCGTTCATAAATAACGGTTGCTAGACTTTTAAATTAAAAAATTGGAGCAAGCAAAGATGTACTATCGCTAACTTATAAACTTATACAGCTATATTGTGGCTGTGTGAATAAAACTTTTTCGTCAATGTCAAGGTGACATCGAGCTGTCACATCAATTATGACTTTATGAACAAAATTTAGTATTTGAGTATATGCTATTGAGAAGCGTTTTGGAGCAAACAGTTCGTTTATAATCACGTGTTTTGTGAAAAAATAAAAATGGCGAAGAAGTGTTTTTTATGCAAATCAAGTGAATCAGTGATTGACTTTGATGAAAAATCTTTTGTGAATTGTTTTTTGAAGTTAGCGTACCGAAAATCTAAAGACTTTAAGTATAGTGAGGTACAGTTAAACGAACATTTAATAGACTTGGTAGGATTTCACTCTTCATGTTATAAAAAAGTGACTGTTTTAAAAAAATCTACAGTAAGTATACTTATATATTGATACTTGAGGATCAATATACAGGGTGTTTCTTTTAACTTGAGACAGCTCAATATCTCGAGAAATACGCATTTCACGGAAAAATGTCTTAAATAAAAGGTTAATGTGACCAAAGGGGACATTATTTGGTGCTACCGCTAGCCACCCCTACCCCTCCTTAAGGGTGAAACGGGGGGTAACTTTGGAAAGTCAAATGGAATGACCCGATTTTTTTCACAGAGTTTGGTAGTACATAAAAAGAATAACTTTTATTTGAAAGTTTTTTTCAATTTATCAACAGATGGCGCTGTAATTCAAAATTTAAGAAAAAGGGGTTTCCTTGTAAAATGTATTATTTGAAACGTTTGAAAAACAAAAATTAACATTAAATCAACAATAGTCGGCTATAAAAACAATTTATAACAAATGTTCGAAATGTCGTCCTTCCATTTCGACATCAAGTGGAGCACCAGACTTCTTCCAGTGGGGTTACTTGAAAGAAAAAGTTTACGCTGCAATTCCTACAACTTGGGAGGACATGGTGGAGCGGATCAGGAACGCCTGTGCGGCGATACCGCCCGATATGTTGGCGCGTTGTGTGCCAGAATTCATTACCCGCATTTAAAAATGTGTTGAAATGGAATGACGACATTTCGAACATTTGTTATAAATTGTTTTCATAGCCGACTATTGTTGTTAATGTTAATTTTTGTTTTTCAAACGTTTCAAATAATACATTTTACAAGGAAACTCATTTTTCTTAAATTTTGAATTACAGCGCCATCTGTTGATAAATTGAAAAAAGTTTTAAATAAAAGTTATTTATTTTTTTATGTACCACCAAACTCTGTGAAAAAAATCTGGTCATTCCATTTGACTTTCCAAAGTTACCCCCCGTTTCACCCTTAAGGAGGGGTAGGGGGTGGCTAGCGGTAGCACCAAATAATGTCCCCTTTAGTCACATTAACCTTTTATTTAAGACATTTTTCCGTGAAATGCGTATTTCTCGAGATATTGAGCTGTCTCAAGTTAAAATAAACACCCTGTATAAGTATACTAAAAATATTAAAGTAAGTATATATACTTACTTTAATATTTTTAACAAATTCATTAAAATCTTCATTGTAGATTTTTTTTAAAACAGTCACTTTTTTATAACATGAGGAGTGATATCCTACCAAGTCTATTAAATGTTCGTTTAACTGTACCTCACTATACTTAAAGTCTTTAGATTTTCGGTACGCTAACTTCAAAAAACAATTCACTGATTCACTTGATTTACATAAAAAACACTTCTTCGCCATTTTTATTTTTTTCACAAAACACGTGTTTATAAACGAACTGTTTGCTCCAAAACGCTTCTCAATAGCTACTAAATTTTGTTCATAAAGTCATAATTGATGTGACAGCTCGATGTCACCTTGACATTGACGAAAAAGTTTTATTCACACAGCCACAATATAGCTGTATAAGTTTATAAGTTAGCGATAGTACATCTTTGCTTGCTCCAATTTTTTAATTTAAAAGTCTAGCAACCGTTATTTATGAAAAGATTTTTCAAAGCAACCCTATACTACTGTATTCGTAATAAAATTGCCTTCATTTTGATATATTTTTTAAGTGGTAAGCATATGAGTGCAATTACTGATATCAACTTACCTGTTTGTACAAAGCAACCAGGTAATAGGGACCAGAAAAAGGTAGGCAACCTAGCTGTTACATATTCTGTATGATGTATGCTTTCCATTGGAATTTCGTTCATTTGGCAAGCAAATCGGTGAAATTTAAAAAATAAATTATTTTTTTAATTTTTTATTTGTTATAGCCATGATCATATTTTTTATGGCAACCCTATTGGTTTATGTTCAGAAACATATTTTATTTGATAAAATATAATTTTCATCTGGTAAGCAGATGGGTGAAGGTCGACCTTACTTGGGATCTTAGACTATATAGTAACGTTATTAAATAAATGAAATTAGTATTTAATGTAATAACATTCTAACATAAAATGAATTAAATATCAATATGAATATCAATAGATTTAGGAGCGATAACTTTTGTTGTTAATTTAAAAACAGTAAACGTTTATAAACCAAGTGCTAACTACCCTATTGGTATACCAATAGGTATTCCAATGGGATCTTGTAATCCGTATTCCTGCATAACAGTTCCTATAATATATTATAGGAACTGTTATGCAGGAATACGGATTACAAGATCCCATTGGTTTAATGGCTCGCCCATTCATGCTATGCTAGCGTTTTTTCTGTGTAAGCATCATCATATCGTTACAATGATCCTGGTATACCAGGATCATTGAAACGATATGATGATGCGTCATGTGTATACACAAGACGCTAAAAGCTGTTACTTTTAAACCAAACGTAATAATAATAATAATAATAGTTTTATTCATCAGTAAAACAAAATTACAAAGTAAATCTTGCTTATATGACTAGTCACACAAAAATAAGTAAGAATAATGACACTTACTATTAAATACTATAACATATACAAGATTAAAATTTAATGATAACATTAGAAAGAATCATTAAACAATTCTTTAACAGAATAGTACAATTTATTTAAAAAAATAGTGTGTAATTTTTTCTTTAAAATATTAATATTTTTACAAGATATAATAACATTTAACACATGATTATGACATTTTATTCCCTGATAAGCAAAGGCTTGAGAGACTGACAATCCGGAATAAGGCAAATATAGGTTTTTATTACCTCTTGTACCGAACTATGCATATCCTTTGTTTGTATAAATAAACCTTTATTTTCTTCAATGTATATAACTAAATTGTAAATATATAAACTTTTACTATCTAGGTATCTAATAAGTTTTTTTGTAATAAAAATACTCTTTCAAAGTAAGCTAAAACACCCCAAAAAATAATACCATAGGACAATATAGATTGAATTACACCAAAGTACATTAACCTCAATACAGGAAAGG